TTTTATACTTCGTTAAAAGTTTTTTTATTAATATAAAAGCATATATAGCAGTTTTGCCTTTCGGTTTTTTGGGCGGAAGCCAAAATATTTAATTACATTATTTTTTATTTATAATTATGTCTAAAGTTTGGTTTTGGGTTGGCGGGTCCGCATATCCGGAGCTGAAAAAGTCCTGATAACAGGATCGGGGCATTATTTTAAAACAATAATTAAAATTTCAAATTAAAAGATTTATTCCGTATTTTTAACTATAGTTTTAACTAAATTGAGCAAATCAGGATCAGAAATAAAAAGATAAGCCTGGGTAGGCATTAGGAACGAGGTCTGCAGCTGCATACATATAAAAAAGGATGGTCAAGGAAGATGGAATTTGCAAAAGCCTTTTACTCATTTTATATACCCATTATTAGAGTTCGAACCCGGGCCGGGCCCGGACCGGTTTTTTCCGGGCCCGGTGGCCCGGAACCGGGTATTTTTGAGAAAATCCGGTTTTTCCGGGCTAACCGGTTTTTCCGGTTTTATCCGGATAAACCGGCCCGGGTGCGATTTTGAGTAAAAAAACCGGGTCCCGGGCCCGGTAATTTTTTGCCGGGCCCGGAGTCTTCTCGACTAAGTCAAGAAATGTAAGAAATATTGCTTTTGGCAATCCATTTTTTCAAAATTTTCGCCTCCGGCGGTGAAAAAAAAAGAAATCTTGCCCCTTGGCCTTCCAAAATTCTCAAAATTTTCGCCTCCGGCGGTAAAAAAATGAAGAAATTTGGCCGCTTGGCCTTACAAAATTCTAAAAAATTTTAAAAAGTGAAGAAAAATTAATGGGATTAAGAAGTCTCCCCAGAAGTCCCCCCTCCTCCCCAGATTAAATAATGTAGAGGGATATCGAGGATTTAGAGGTATATCTGAATATCTAATCCCTGTAAATCCATATTAATCCCTCCTTTTTCCTGTAGTTTTTAGGATAAAATGTCATTTTTTTGCTTCTTGGCCTTCCAAAATCCGCAAAATTTTCGCCTGCGGCGCTGAAAAAGACGATTTTTGGCTTATTGGCCTTCCAAAATCTGCAAAATTTTCGCCTGCGGCGCAAAAAAGTGGATTTTTTTGTGTTTAAGGAACCAAAAATATTTTTGCGGATTTTTGAGTAAAATGCGGATTTTTTAGCTCAAAATTGCGGATTTTTAAAAATTTGAGATCCGAGCCCTGCTTTAAATCCTTTTAATAAACACGTATAGATGAAGGATGACACCAAATTTTAATAATTTCTTATTCAAAATAAGAAAAATTTCAGCGAAAAACTAGAATTTGATCATTTTTTGAATTTTGAAAAAACCGGGTCCGGGCCCGGGTCTGAAAAAATCCGGTTTTTCCGGGCTAACCGGTTTTTCCGGTTTTATCCGGAAAAACCGGTCCGGGTGCGATTTTGAGAAAAAAAAACCGGGTCCCGGGCCCGGCATTTTGAAAAGTTCGAACTCTACCCATTATGATATCTTAAATTGTCGGGTCCAAACACTAAAAAAGAAATTCGGCTTTTTAGGCTTCTAATATTTCATAATTTTAGCCGGTGGCGCTAAAATAGGAGGGGGAAAGGAATATATTATTATCCACCACAGCGACGCCTCTCTAAGCACATAATTCCCAAAAGTTACAGACAACCCTCACTACTTCAATAAAAATTTTGGTTGCGGGTATCCGGGGATTTCCCAGGATACGCCACACACTAGGCCGAAGCGTTAAAAAGAGGAATTCTGACTTGAATTCTTGAACTAAAATAATTTGTTTAAATCTCCTTTTCTTTGGTTTTTTAGAACCCGGCCGGAGTGTTACCATGCCTGTTTTTAACTTGGTATCATTTTCTGTTTCGTTTTGACTGCCCTTTTTAATTTTTAATAAAAAAATTTAATTTTATTGAATATTATACTAGAATATTATACTTGGGGGTAAAAATTTACCCACACCACTTCTCTTTACTCGTAGCTCATAAGAGATATTAAAATCGCAACACGCGCAATTTTTCTTGGCTCATAGCTCATACGAGAAGTCAAACTTGCGCGAGACTTCTCTTTATAAAGATAAAGAGAAGTTCTTTCTCTTCTGAATTTATTAAAAAAAATTTTTCTCCTTACTTTAAAATCATTTAAAAATTTTTAAAAAAATATTTTCTTAGCTAAAAATATTCTTGTTAACTAAAAAATATTTTTAAATTACTTGCTAGTCTTTAAAAATTATTTTAACAAATTTTAGACAAATTTAAAAAAATTAATTAATTTGATTGAAAATGAAATGTCAAATAATTATTTTTTTATTGCTTTTTTCATCTTCAATGGCAATGAAAAAGATAAAGGAACTTGGGAAACGTTAGAAATTTTTTTGAAATTTTTATAAAAATAAATTTATAAAAATCTATCATTTTGTTACAGAGTGTATACCTAAATGCTGTGGTTATAAACGATAACTGAATTTCTAAATTCTTTTCATCCTGCTACTATGGTTGACGGATCCGGATATTCGGAAATTTTCGGTTCGGATACCGGATCCGGATATCCGAATATTTCCAACTATCCATCAACCTTACTTGCTACAGTTGAATCCAAAGCATTTTGAGTTTGTTTGGGTTCACATTTAACATCGTTCATTTCTGAACAATATTAGAAGGGTTCTAGGTTACCAAGGGTTTTGGGGAAACTTTCGATGTTTCACATTATGACTTTGATTTTCTTGTTTTCATTGAAAATTTCAGAAAAGTTTATATTTTATATGCCAGTTGGTTAGCATTACTAGATGCGGGGTTAAGATTAAAAATGAAATCAAAAGCATCGCTTAGGCAGCTTAGCCTGGGTAGAGGACCTGCACGTAGTGAGCAGAGTTTGGTCAAATTCCTATTTCCGACAGATCCTTTGTCATTTCCGACCGACTTGTGGTGTTGTTTGAAGGTTATAACATAGCAATAACGGCCAGAGAGGCTTTAACCTTTAACTCTCCCAGAGAGGCTAACCTTTTAACTCTCCCTCATTTTCCTTTTAAAAATTCATAAGCTAATTTAGGAGTGAAAAACTTGGTAATTCAAAAAACCAGCGGGATTGAGAGTGCCTTTTTCGACAATCCAGCTTCGATAGAATTAAAAAACCAAGTGTTGGCTAATTATTATAAAGAATATTTATTAGCCGAAACAAAAAAAGAATTGAAACAAATTAAATTAAAAATATCTGTAGCTACATATCTTTCGATAACTGAAAGGTTAATAGGAAGATATGGACACAGATTGAGTCATTTTTTGGGACAAAAAAATTTTATTGCTGAATCAGAAATAGAAATGGACCAAGAAGTAGAAATGGATTTGATAGAATATTTTGCTAGGTCTGTTAAATTTGAATTTTAAATTAAAGGGAGAAATAATCCCTTGGATTTGAGAACTGGAGTATCTAGGTTGAGATTGCGGCCTGGTTTTGGTCTCGGAACCTCGGTTTCGGTCTTGACAAGGACGTCTGAATTTTTGGAAGAAACGGAAGAATTGGGCATATCTTAAAATTTTCTTGTGCGGCGCTAGACTGAGAGATTATCGCTCTATTAAGAAGATATCCTCCTACATTAGTGTATGTAAAATAGATGTCCGACTTCATAAGGTTAGATGGAGATTGTCGGAGAAATTTTCAAGGAGGCCACGGCACCGGGGGGGGGGGGGGGGGGGGGAGGGTGGAGCACGAGGAGCCTCATCATAGGGGGAGAAAACGGAGACCTTCAAAGGTGGCATCCAATCACCTCCATGGTGGCATTCTATTACAGGGTGGCATTCTAATAGAGGAAATACGGTATATACGGTAATACCAATCGTCCAAAATTAAAAAAAATTTAATTTTAGTATAAAATCACTAGTAGCAAATAAATCTACCAATCTACTACTTTGTAAAACTATTCAAATTTTTGTTACTTTAAAATTTCACATAAGAAATCAAATAAAAAGGAATAATGATGAACAAATTTTATTTGATTGTGAAGGAGAAGATAATATTCTCGATGAAATTGACTTTTTACAAGAAATGATTCTTGAGGGGAATTTTATCGAATTTTATTTTTCGGTTATGGAAAATGGAAATTTTTTGGAATTTCTTAGGTTTTGAAAAAAAATTAATAAAAAAATTTTTTTAATATTTAAGGAAGCAAATTGACAGCTCAGATCAAACTGAGTTAAGAAAGAAGTTTGAAAATATTTTTGGATTGGAAAGATTTGCTTTGCTTTCTGAAAGATTTTCGGACATTTTTAAGCAAATGGGTAAGTAAATTTGTATAGAGGGAAATTCCCGGTTCCCGGATCCGGTCTTTTCAAAATTCTGATCCTTATGTGAGCGGGTGACCGAGTGGTTAAGGTGCTAGAGAGACATCACCCATGTCGTTAAAGATTTAGAGGTGGGCTTCGCTTACAGGCAGTTTATTTGTGGTTCAGTCATCAGAAAAAAGTTAAGATACCGAAACTTTAGGTTCGGATACTGATTTCAAATTCGGTTGTCTTCAGACTTCCCAGGATCCGCTAACCTTACCTAAAGGTTATCCACCTTTAAAGAGCGCGTTTAAATTGAGGCGCACCACGGATTAGTTTAATCGACATCTAATGTAAAGTTGACGGATTTTGGAAAATTTATCCGGAGCAAACTGCATTAAGAGCTTAGGATCAATTCCATCTAGGTCTAAACTCTTACCTCTCTTTTAATCTTGGAAATCCTCGTATATTGGATAATTTTGGACTCTTTATCTTGGATATTCGGATTACATATCCGAACCAAAAATTCATTTACAAATCATTTTAAAAAATCATTTACAAATTTTTATAAACAAAATATTTAGTAAATCCCGAGGATTTAATCGAAGATTTATACAAAATAAATTTTACACCAAAAGATAAGTCAACAACTGACTGGAAAAGTTTAGTTGTTGTGGAGTATATAATTTATATGGAATGGGCAGAAAATGTATTGAATGGAATACAAGTAGAAGAGGGTTAGTAAAATTGAAAATTTTTTAAAATAAAAAAATTTTTTTTAGATAAGGTGGAAATAATTAAATATTTAGGACGACTTTGGGAGTATTTTAAAATTAGTTTTTGGATAGGGCTGAATTCTAAAGAAAATATGGAAGTAGAAATTGAGGTATAATTTCATTTTATTGAAAAAACGAAAACGCTGGACCAAATTAGAGGTCGGCAAAATCACGTTTGCTGGATCCCGCGGGATAAAATTTTTTTTAAAAATCTGCGGGACGGGATCCCGCGGGACAAATCCCGCACTCCCGTAAAATCCCGCAAATCGAAAAAAGTGCGGGATTGCGGGAGCGGTATCCCGCAAAATCCCGCGCGGGATCCCGTCCCGCGCCGACCTCTAGAGCAAATATGTATATAGAGCAAATTTTTTCGTCTTTTTTGGTGTTTCGACTTAAAAATACATTGGATGGAAGATGGAATAGAACCACTTGGAAAGGCCCAAAACCGAAGCACAACCGACTGTGCCACCATCCAACACGATGCTGGGTATTTATTTTCTGGGCTGGGCCATGGAGGACGGGGATAAACTAAATTTGCCGACCTTTTCTACTGTCAAAAGGCAAATAAAAAAGGAATTTGAAGAAAAATAATAAAATAACAACAGTACATTTTAATTTTTAGAATTTCTTCGTAAACCAAAAAGAAATGAGTATATTTAATCATGGTAGGGATTATTTATATCTTCAAAGTTACAAAAGATGTACTGTGAAGACTATAAATGAAATGCAAAACCCTCCAAAAAAGCCACAAAAAAGTAGAAAAGGTAAAGGGAAACAAGATAGTAGTAGTAGTAGCAGTATTCCCGTTGATTCTGTTGACGGAGCAGAACAATATTTTAAGAGTTGTTTGGATGATACTTCCACAAATGTAGCTATACAAAATTTTAATGAAGAAGAAAGGAAAAAAATGCATTTAAATAAATTAAATGAATTGTTAAACAATGAAGAATTTAAACAATTTTTGCAATGCGAAGCATACGGTAATTAACAATTAATGTTGTAATTAGTGCCCGCGCCCAAAGGGATAAAGCCAGATTTTTTTAAAGTTCGAGTCATGAATCCGAGGTTTTCTCACTATCTTAGGATTAATTCCTGACAAGATTAAGTCAGAAAATTAGGCCTGGCTCACATCATTGCCAACCCGGAATCCGAATACACAATTTTGGCAGACACTGACTGTATTCCCATCCCAGAGGTGATGTGAGATTAAGAAATTGTCCAAGTTCCTTCATGTTGAAGGCATCTTTCAAAAATTTAAAATATGAAACTGGGTATTTTCCGCTATACGACCGCAAACTGAGTGCCAGCCGACTTTGATCGGCTATAACTTTTTAATGCTTGATCTAATAAAAATGAATTTTATATCATTCGAAAGCCCTCGATAAGCGTCCAAGAAATTTCAGGCACAAAATTTTTCCCTTTCGGGTCATTTCCCTTACTTTCTATATTTTCCTCCACCTTTTAATGATTTTTAACTCCTTGACAAGTACAAATATCGAAAATAATATTTAAAAATATTTTATTAATTTTTAGTAATAACGGTTAAACAATTATGCGATGTAACTATGAATAAATTAATTAAAGGTTTTGAAAATAAAAAAAATAAAGAAAGGGCACATGGAGGAGTGAAATATACTTATGGGGTAATTATTGAAAAAATAATTAAATTGTTAAAATTTGCTTTAAGTTGCCTAAAATAAGACGAAAACCCAGTAAGGATAGCCCTAATCTGCGACCCCAATCTTGACACGTTTCGTAACAAGCATCCAGAGCTGTTTCGAAATTTCGCGAAATTTCGAGTTTTTAGTTTTCGAAACAATTTTGCCCGCACCCAGACATTCTCGAAAGATCGTCTATAGTGATTCTGTGAACCTAAAAGTTTCCGGGCCGAGGGAATCCGAACAGTAAAATCCTTGGTGTTTGTAAATGGTGGTATGACAAGTTCGGATATATAAGCAAGCATACAAAAATTTAAAAAGCATTATCTTCCAGCAAGAAACATCATCATCATCTTCTAGCAAAGGAAGATCAAGCAAAGGAAATGAGAAGGCTTATGAAATAGTACAAACATTTCCCCCCAAAAAACCAACTAAAGGTTTAGAAAATTAATTAAATTTTAATTTAAATTAAATCTAAAGGACCAAAACCGGGATATATTCCTTCTGTTGTTAGAAAGGGTCTAACAATAAAAGAGGATGTAAAAAAAGGAAAAAAGAAAAAATCTAAACAAGGACAAAGTGAAGATGTTGCAGATTTTTATGTAGGTTCAAATAGCCTATATAGTCGGACCTTATTATAAAATACACACTAGTGTTCCGGTCCTGAACAAAAAATCAGATCCGGATCCGGTCAAAATTTCAGTTCCGGTTCCGGCCAAATTTGTTGTTCAGGCGAAACACTAAAATACATACCCTCATAATTAGAGGCTAGACGGAACTGTACTGGTATATTACTGTATTTTGTATTTATGGAATACGGTACGATACAAAATTCCGGACTCTATATGTAAGTACATTCAATATTAGATACCCCTCTATTTAAGATTCCACCTATTTAAAATATGTCTCTTAAAATTTGGGTGGACACTGGACTGGGATACCCCCTATTTAAGGTATCCTCATTATAAGATACACTCTCAGTATCAAAATGTATTTACAGGTAGGGTCCGACTATTTCTCTCTATATGTATATTTTCATAATTAAAATTAAAATAAATTTGAGTTGAATCACCTAATAAATGAATATTATACTATTCACGTGAATGTAATTCAAACTAGAGAGTATATTATACAAAAATTGGGACAAATAATTAGAGAATGGATAGAACAAGTGAAACAAACTAAAGGAATAACTAATGATAGTGCCGAAGAAGAAGGTACATATAGTCAGCTCCCGTGATGGGTACGGCTTCGAGAGTACGTCTCCGAAGCCAGAAATGGAGCCGTAGCATTATATTCATGTTCATATTGTGGAAAAATTTATTTGATGGGAGATGGAATAGAACCGTCATGGAAAGGGTCCTTGATTTGTACTGGCATTCTCAAAAATCTGTTAATTATCAAGAATTAAAAACATTTTTTATTTAAAGAGTTCCTATTACAAGTGGTTGGTTCTGACATATTAGAAACAACTGCTAAATGGTCAGATATGGATATTTTGTGTATTTTGCCAAAATATATAAATATTTATGATTTTATTGCTGAAGATGAGTTTGGGTTATATGGAAGTTTAATGAATAATGGGGTATGTATTTTTTAAGCAGAAAACCTCACATGAAATACGACCAATATTAACCTAGGTTTGGAGGTTGGTTGGTTGAAGGTTGGAGGATCCTGAGAAATCTTCGAATATCCGAATCCGTTACGAATCGAAAATTTCAGGATACAGTCGTTTCCGTTCAGGATATCCGTATCCGCCTACCTTAGATACACCTCTAATTAAGAGACACCTCATTATAAGGTATAATCTCTCAGTAAAATGGGTGTATTTTATAGTAGAGTAGATCGAGGCCTCGCCTATTTTCAAATCTCGGTCTCAGTTTGACAGGCCTCACGTCTCGGAACCTCGTCTCGGTCCTCGCCAAGAACCTCGCTTTGCCGTGGATTTTTCAAAAAATCTCGACCTCGGGCCTACACTTTATAGTAACTGACAAAAAATAAAAAATTATTTATTTAGGAAGTACAATTAGATATAAATATTGTAATGTCAACAAGAATTTTGATACTTGAATTTGAAATGTATGGAATTGATGTTGATTTAATTTATGCACAAATTCCATTTCAAAAAATCGGGGAAAATTTTGATATAATGGATTATGAAATTATTGAAGAAAATAAAAATAAAAGAAGCATTTTAGCTTTAGCAGGTTGATTAATTGAAATACAGTCGAACCCGCCAATTTGTTCACTAAAGGATAACATCAATTTTAGGATACGCTAGTGGACACCAGGAGTATCCCCGATATCACTCCAAATCATTCCCGTAATCCCTTCAAATCCCTTGATATCCACGGTATCAATTCATATCTACTTTTATCCTCCGCTATCACTTATCCTCCGCTATCACTTCATTGTTCTAATTTTGTTCTGAAAAAACAACCCCCCCGGCAAATGTCCAGTTGGCTGTCTACCTGTCCGCAAGGAGAATCTGCTCTTTCCTTTCCTTTTCTTGCATTTTTTGCGTTGAGAGAAGTGCACCCTCATTCTTTCCTTGTCATCAATTTTCCTTCTCATTGTCAATACAGTATACTTGAAAAATAAAAATAATACCTCGAATTTTAAAAAATACATAGGTATACATATTTATTTTACAAATAATTAATTTGGGGTAACATTCTGAAATCGCAACAATTGGAAAACATGTAGATACTGAATAACGAGTAATAAAGATTTTTTCTTTGATCAAGTAATACATAAAGATTTTTCTTTGAAAGAGTTTGATCGACGATCCCCCCCCCCCCCCCCCCCCGAGGAATTTATATAATGTTTAAGTATGTCCGATTATAAGGAAACAAATTCAGTTCTAATAAATATTTACTTAAAAAGGTGTTCGTTGTTTAAAAATTATAAGACAATATATTTGTCAAAATCAAGAATTACTGGTCTTGTTAATGCGCTATGTGAAGATTTGGGCTAAAAGTAAGGATATTAGTATGAATGGAATTCCAAATTTATTTTTAAATTTTTATCCTAGATCGCCTCATCTATTCAAACAAAGCCGGCTATCTAAGTAGCGTCTCTTTGGCTATAATGTCAGCAAAAATTTGTATAGAATATCCACAAGCTACTAGCTTGTCTTTTGTCATTAAACAATTTTTTAATCTTTACAATTCATGGTTATTTGATAATTTTTGGAAATTTTTAATTATTTTTTAGGGACTGGGAAGAAACCCCATTATTGTTAGTTAATTTAATTGATACAGATCAAGCATTCGAAAATGATTCTGAAATTGTTGAACCTTGGAGAGGGTTTAAAAATGACGATTCTTCTAGGTATAAATTACAGTCAACGACCCTATATTTAAAATATTCTCATTATAAAATATGCATTAGGGCCAAGATTTTGATTCCAATTTTGTTCCATCCTTTAAAACTTCTATTTTTAGCGGATGTATTTTAAAACATAAACCGGTCAATTTGGGTACACCCCGATGTACCTCGAGCCCAGTATACGCCAAGCTATAACTTTGTTTAAGATTGTTGAATCCGTGGCGCCCTGGTATGGTTCGATGCGTCTCAACCAGCTGAATCGAACCATACCAGGGCACCACGGATTCGACAATGTTGAACAAAGTTATAGCTCGGCGGTACACTGGCCTGCTCCCTTCAATTTTTCCACTGGTTTTCGATTTCGATTCGGCTAACCGTGAAGAACCCTAGTAGAAAGTCGCCAGCTAATGAGGGGTGTTTAAATAGAAGGTATCAACATGCATTATTTGGTGTATTTTAAAGTTAGGTTTGACTGTATGGGGTATAAAAATAATTAATAAATTTATCAAAAATTAATTAAGCGAAACTGGTTCAAGCGAAAAAAGAGAAACAAAAAATGAAGGAAATGATGGAACACAAATGTCCATAATTACACCTGGATTTCCCGAACAAAATACAACATTTAATGTAAATAAGTTTACATTGAAGAGAATTGTTGGAGAAATTGAAAGAGGTTTTGCCCTCATTGAACAATATTCTCGCCAAGAATCAACATATGTTTGGAATGAATTAATCACGCCATTAGATTGGAAAACTTATTATAATTATTTTATTTTGATTTTATGTCGAGCTGGTGAATTTGAGGTAAAAAATAAATTACAAAAAAATATCTAAATTAATATGTATAATATTTCTTTCTAAAATTGTGCCCAGGGTACCATGTAGTACGAACGGGACATAGTCACTCCGAAATCTCTTTTTAAAGAGAGGGGAGGGTGGGTCGGGAGGGAGGGAGGGAGGGAGGGAGGGATATTATTTTTTCGAAGAGGGAGGGGGCATTTTTCTAGGGAGTTGGGGTGGTGAAGGTGGGTTATAATGTTCATGCTGTGGAAAAATTCATTAGATGGGAGATGGAATTGAACCATCATGAAATGAGCCCAGCCCGAAGCACAACCGACTGTGCCGCCATCCAATCCGATGCTGGGTTATTTATTTTCATTTATATTCTTTCTGCAAGTGCGGACACAACAGGGGGACGGCTATAAGGTTAAGTAAGTGGAGCTTGTTTTTTAAACCCCCCATTAGATTAACTATTATTCTAGAATGAGTACAGAATTAAAATTTTCAGAAAGGTTATTGTAATAGACAAAAAGTCTTACTTCGTACGTATTTATACAACTGGGAGAAAGAATATGAGGAATATAATTTGATTAAAGCAAGTCATTTAATACCAAATTATGAAGAAAATGTTAATTGTCTCAATACTACAAAGTTGTAAAATTATTTAAAAATATTTTAATAGTTACCGTAAAACTTTTAATAACTACCCTGGGTATTTATTGTTTCGACCTTCCGTTGGAGGGATAATTAATCAAGGGAGGGCAATTATATAAGGGTTGAAATTTGAACGTGTTTTAGAGCAATTTTATGGGGGCAATTATTGTTTCAACCTATCACTTGAGGGGGTAATTAATTAAGTAGAGTAACTATTTAAGGGAGGGCAAATAATACAGGTTATACGGTACTTTTCTCTCCCTCCTTTTTGTCCTCTAATCACTTATTTTATCTGACAAAATTGAGTTTTTTATTTTTTTTTATTCTCGTATTTTTAGTTAAGTTCTCCAAAAATTTCAGAATTTTTGAGTGAGAATCTCATAAATTATGGCCAAAAATATGTTGATTCTCTGAAAAATGCCAAATTTTTAAAGGTTTATCTACCATAACTTCAGAAATATTTGATTAAAAATTCTGAAATTTCTTGGGGAGGAAGTCAAGGATGTTAAAGAAATTTGACAAAATTTTTATGAATTTAGGGTTCGCCTAAGTGCCACTTTTGAGTTTAGCGCCAAAACAGCCCCGCGCCAAAAATGCCCCAACCCTATATTAAATAACCAATTAATTTGACATTTTTTAAAGCGATGGATTAATTTCCTGTAAATTGTGGATTGTTGGTGTTAATTTAAATAGTGAATATATAAACAATCTTGCTATACAAGAGATCGACATAGATATTGGACAAATTTTGACAATTGATGGGACATTTAAGCATTCTTCAACAAAACCTGAATCCTTATATTCAGTACATACAGATACAGACAATCTTGGACAAACGTAATCTAAAAATAAAGTCAAGCCTCGTTTCTAGATATACCCAAGATCAAATACCCTCTATTTAAGAGACGTTTTTACCTCATTATAAGGCAAACCCTTATTATAAGATACCCCCATTATAAATAGGGTGTATCTGGAGACTAAGCATGGAAAATCGGCTCTGGCGTATTTAGGCAAAAATTCAGTGAATTTTGAAGACCAAGAAGCCTGATTTCTTTATTTTTTTAAAGGGCCAAAATATTTTACTTCAAAAATAATGGCATCACCGAGGGGATTAAATCGGCGGAAATGAGAAAATGCGAAGCGAATTCCATCCCTGATAGGGACCCATTATAAGATAAAAATTTCCAAGGGTCCATCTACATGCGAGGCCTAAATATATTTATTTAGTCTTCAATATTTAAAATTTTAGGCTTGGGACATTTGGCATTAACGAGTGAACAATTTTGGATTTTAATGGGGTTACATTTTTTCGATGAAAAAAATTAATTTTCAAATTTCGAGTTATTTTTAGCTAGAATTTTGATTTTAATTAGTATGTAAAGCATATGCTATTTACTTCCTAAGACTGTGCAGTAGACGGCATGGTGTAATGATAACACATCAGTCCGGTCTACTGAAGATGCTGGTTCGCTCCCAGCCGCAGAATAACCTTTTGCATTTGCTAAAGGAGAGAAATAGCTGTAGCCCAGCTGGTTTACTAGTATATTTTTATTTTTAGTTCTTTTTTTATTTTATTATATTTCAGTTACTATATTAGTAAATACCGTATTTTCCCTAATTTAGCGGCCGTATCTAGTTGAACGGCCATATCCATTAGAGCGTCTCCTTGAGAGGCGATTGAAAAATAGAGCAGCCGGCCGCTCAATTAGAGACAATACGGTATGTTCTTTTTTGATTTATTATTTAAATATTTTATGTAGAACCCATTTATTCGCAAGCTAACAATAGGTTTATGATACTCAATACAGAAGCAACCCTTGACTCTCGCAACACACTTGTGAAACAAGTGTGTTGCGAGAGTCTCGCCGGTTTTACACAAGTCTCTCGCTGACTTCAAAATGTTTATGTTGACCATTCAAGCTTGCGAATAAATGGGATGGGTACCTAAAATAGACAAGTTTCCTTTTATTTAAATTAAACAAATTTTCTAAAAACAAATTTTCCATTCCATCATTTTTATGTTTTGACACTCGAGTTCAACCCCGGGCCTGAACCGGATATTTTGTTAAAATCCGTTTTTTGGGTTCCGTTATTTTCAAAGTTTTAAATGGAATGCCCTAAGGGCACATTACTACTAGGGTTGTTGGCGACTGGTTTTAAACTCGAAATTTTTGAAATTTTTTGCCAAAAATTGACCGTTTTTGGAAAACTTTAAAAACCTGAAATTTGTGAAAATGAGTGATTTTATTAAAAATTCCCACAAAATAAAACCGGTATTTGCCTAAAACTCAAAACCGAAAACCGGGTTTCTAAAATTTAGATTAACCGAAAACTGAGGGTACCGGTTAATAATAGTGTTCAGTAAATGGATTTTTTCGGTACCGGTTCCGGGAATACCAAAAAGTACCGGTTCGGTACGGGAGTACCACGGGAGTACCGAACCGTGCCGAACACTTAGTAATAACTAGAGTTCGAACTTTTCAAAATGCCGGGCCCGGGACCCGGTTTTATTTTCTCAAAATCGCACCCGGACCGGTTTTTCCGGATAAAACCGGAAAAACCGGTTAGCCCGGAAAAACCGGATTTTTTCAGACCCGGGCCCGGACCCGGTTTTTTTCGAAATTTATTAAAAACATAAAAAAATTATCACACATACAAAGGATCGGAAAACATACAAAGGATCGATTAAAGGATATATGAATCAAAGGATAGGTGCGCTAAAGGATATATCTTCTTTTTTCAGCGCCGCAGGCGAAAATTTTGAGAATTTCGAAAGGCCAAGAGGCCAGATTTCTTCCTTTTTCACCGCCGGAGGCGACTCTCCGGGCCCGGCAAAAAATTACCGGGCCCGGGACCCGGTTTTTTCACTCAAAATCGCACCCGGGCCGGTTTTTCCGGATAAAACCGGAAAAACCGGTTAGCCCGGAAAAACCGGATTTTCACAAAAATACCCGGTTCCGGGCCACCGGGCCCGGAAAAAACCGGTCCGGTCCGGGCCCGGCCCGGGTTCGAACTCTAGTAATAACCGGTCGCCAACAACCCTAATTATTATTCAAGGGGCTCATTATTTATGTTTTATTCTAAAAATTTCTCTGTCTTTTTCATTTTTTTAAACATTTACCAATTTATCAACTACCGTATATACTCCATTAATTACTCTGGGTAATTATTGTTTCGACCTCTCTCTGGAGAGGGTAATTGATAGAGGCGGGATAGAGGTTATTTTAGGAAGGATAATTCTAACTATTTTTAAGGGGGCAATTATTGTTTCAACCTTTCGCTGGAAGGGGTAACTAGAGGCGGGGTAATTATTTGAGGGTAATTATTTGAGGGAGGGTAATTAATAGAGTATATACGGTATTTATCAAATTTAAATTTATTTTTAGACACTAAACTATGTAAAACATTAAAACTTGAGTAAATCTTTTCTTTCATTTTTTTAAAATTTTATATCCACAATTGGCATATCCTAGCCAAAAAAACTTTAACTTTTTACTATCCACAATTGTCGAAGCTCGGGACACGCCCAAGTAGGCGCGATGCCAACTCAAAAAGATAGTTCGGTAAGAGGTTGGCACTGAAACAACCGCAAATAAAGTCAAAAAAATGTATAATGTCTCTCATAAAATAACACACTATTTTTTGACCCCCCAATGTCCCGTTTGGCCGCCCGCCGTGTAAAGTCTTAGCTTTTTCGTTGCTCCGTTTTATAAACATGATTAGGGTGTACATTTATATGGATATAAAATCGAAAAATATGGCTTATTGACTGGTTTCTTGTCACAGGGCAATAGAGTAAAATAAGGGTGAAAATAGAATCTGACCATTATGAGCCTTTTAAGAAAAAAATTTTTTGAAAGAAAAGTGGAGTTATTCTGCTTTGAAATTACCCCAATTTCAGTCTAGTTGTTTTAAAAATAATTATTTAATACAACAAAAATGCAATCTCAACAACAAAAAGTAGGAATGGGAATACCTGCTGATCGTTCTGCTCGTTCAATTTTTGGTAAAATTTGAAAAAAAATTTTTTTCCAAAAAAATTTTTTTTTCAAGTTGGAAATATTTCTTATGATGTTAATGAAGAGGAAATTAAAAAAATATTTTCTGCGGTATATTTTTTTTATAAGAAAATTTTAAAAAAATTTCGACCCTATCGCAAAAGAAGGGCGGAATCGTTTTTTTCATTACTTGCAATGAAGGGAAAAATGTTCAGAAAAATTGGAGAAAATGGAAAGGAAAAATGGAGGCGGATGGACCCGGACGGACAACATGGACGGCTATCAATTTCTAAAACATTTCAGTCCTTGTTTTGAGTCCGAGTCCGTCCGTCTCCATTTTCCCTCCTTGCAGGTAATGAAAAAAGACGATTCCGCCTTTCTTTTGGGATAGGGCCAAAAATTCATTTTTAGTGTGGACAAATCATTGGTTTTCGTTTAATGTATGATAGAGACACTGGAAGGCCTAAAGGTTTTGGTTTTTGTGAATTTACGGATGTGCAACATGCTGAGGCTGCTATACGGAATTTTAATGGTTATGAATTACACGGAAGACAGTTGAGGGTGGATTCGGCGACGGGAAATGAATCTGAGGTTTTTTTGAAAATTAATTTTGAGTGAAGAGTCTGACCCGTACAGCTTCTGACCCGAGAGTTTCTGACCTGTACCCCTGCGAGCTTCTGACGCGTACGATAAATTTAGAGTTGAATTATTGACTTGCTAACCATGTCAAATCATCTGGGGAAAATCGGACTGGGAGGGTTCCGTGCCGCGGATTCCGTGACTTCCCAGTTCCGTGACTCGCGGCACGGAAAGGTACCCCACCGGTGGAAAATACCTCCCCCTCCAGACTCCGCGTGTTAAATTATTTGTTAGAGCAGTTAAACGTTGTCTTATTGATTGAATTATCGGGGGAAGGGATGTGTTTTCATATTTTGGACTATCCCTTTACTTTTTTTAAATGATCTTTAGCTGGTTCCTCTCATTTTTTTATTTATTTAAATTATTCTGGGTATTAGTTCTCTTATTTAATTACTTTAAAATTTTTTTGATTTGTAAGCAACAGGATTTTCGTTAAAAGTCCTAAAAGGTTACTAACTCTTACTAACTCCCGACCAAAATTTTTTTAACATTTTTGGTCCTCTCTAGGCCTTATCATATTTTTATCTATAAAATTTAAAGTCCTAAACATTTATTTCCTAGCAACAACAACAATTCCAACAATTTCAAATTCCAGTAAACCCACCCCAACCAGTTATACCCATTCCTGAAGAAAATCCTTATGGACCAGAACCCGAACCTGGAAAAGCTCCGGAAGCCATTGCTCGAACTGTTGCTTCTATGCCGCCTGAAAAAATGTTTGAATTAATGAGGTCGATGAAGGAGACTGTTAATAATAATCCGCAAATGGCTAGGCAACTTCTTATTGAAAATCCACAACTTGCTTATGCTCTTTTACAGGTTTTTTTGAGAATATATTTTGTGGATTTTAGTTGTTTAGACTTCAAAATTGTTTTGAGGGGCATTTTCTTGTCTCCTGACACGGGTTGTCGCTTTTCCTTTCGTTTCTTTGGATTGGTTCCGTATACCCGAAGATTTTCCTTCTTATAAGGGAACATTCCAAACTATATAGAAACTTCGTAAATTTTTTTGCATCACCGTGTATAGCAGGGTCGATAAACTATGGTCAGTCTTGGGCTTTGTTGGCCCTGACCTTTATTTCGAAAGTTATAGGGGTTAACAGTTTTCGAATTTTTTCCCCTCATTTTTCCTATTAAAGAGACTCGTCCAAAGTCATTTTCCAAGAAGACGAACATCCCTTCGTAATAGGTAGTCTGGAGTCCTCTACCGAATAGTACCAAAAAATATATCAAATTCGTTGTAATATTAAACGGTCCCGTATTAATATTTGTATCCTTATTTCAGTCTTATTTTAAGCTCCAAAATTCTCTTTCCTAATATCTTTTAGAGATCGAGCTGGGTCAGTATCAAGGCCTGGATTTTTCCTGTACCCAGAGTTCAGGCCCAGATATTTTTTGACCTTCCTGGGTTTTTCCTGGGCCTGGGTTTTTCCTTGACTACAGGTCTAGGATTTGGCCTAGGTCAATAAATCAACCCCATAGTCCAGGAAGAGATCCAGGCTTTTCAAAAATTTCTCTCTAATATCTTTTCTTTTTATCAAAATTTTCCCCTTTTTCAGGCCCAAGTAGTTATGCGCGTTGTAGACCCAAAAGTAGCTTATTCAATGCTTCATCGAGAACAGGCCCAAACACTTTCAGCATCATCAGCAGCCTTACAACAACATTCCCAATTTCCAGGGCAACAACAACCACCTTCTTCCCAACAACAATTTCAACCACAAAATCTTCCTCCACAATTCAATATGCCTCCACCGCCAGTTATTGCTGCAGCTGGAGGACAATTTCACCAATTTCCTCCACAAAATTCTATGGGAATGGGTACAAATGTTTTGCAACAACAACCACCAACACATGGAGGATTTCAATCGAAACAACAAAACGTTCAGCAGGTTTTTTTTGAAAGATTATTTTTTGGTTTATAAGCCTTGGGGAAGAGCACCTCCATGGCTTGAGACCGGACTGAGACGGTCTCTCTCAAAAACCTCAAAAAAATTTATAAGCCTCTTGGGGAAGGGAACATCCATGACTAGAGACCGGACCGAGACGAGAACTCGTACGATACTCCCAGTCCTGTCTCTATCCATTACCTTTAAAAGAAATTCAAGTTGGGCGAGTTATTCAACCCTCCTTACCCAAAGATCTTTTAGGTTACTAGGGATGGGCCTTCCACATTTTTTAAAGGCGGAAGAGCTCCACTCAATTTTATTTCTGTCATTCTTTTTTGTGTGATACTTTCAACTAGCGTAGCACCCCGAGCCTTCGGGGGCGGAAGTGTCGGGTTTCAGATCACCGATAAAATAGTCGGGGGACGGGGTCCTACCCTACTCTCAACTAAATTTATTTGGGAGAGTTTCCTGGTTTCTTGACCTCAAAAAAGATTTTTTCGCCACATCTTTTAAATATTTATTTATTGTTTAATCTGTCCAATATTTAAACAAGAAAACGTTTTTTTCTTATAAAAAATAAATTTTAGATTCAACAACCACAAATCCAACATACTCAAACTTCACCTCAACAACCAATCCCTCCACAACAGCAACAAGTACAATCTTCTCAAGATAATTTGGATGAGGAACAACAAGCACAAATGCTTGTATGTGGTTTTTTTGATTTTAAATTAAATTTTTTTTTGAAAATAAGGAATGGAGCTTTATAAAAAAGCTCGTTGATTTTGGGGAGAGAGAAGAAATTTAATAAAATTTTTAGAAAAATTTTTTAGAAATTTTCCAAAATTTTTTCAGAATTTTTTAAATTTATTTTTAATTTTTATAAAAATTTTTAGAAAATTTCTAAAAAAAAATTCTGAAAAATTTCTAGAAATTTTCTGAAAATTTTTTAAAAATTTGAAAAATTTTTCGAAATTTTTTTTGAAAATTTCTGAAAAAATTTTTGAAAATTTCCAGGAAAAATTTTTTTTCAAAATTCCAAAAAGAAAATTATTTATTTTCCAGGTTCGTGTATTACAATTAACTGATGAACAAATAAGAATGTTACCACCAACTGAACGTGCTCAAGTAATTGAATTACGTAATCAATTAAGAAATGCTGGGGCAACTGCTTGATGAGGAAAAAAAATTTTTTGGGGTAGTAGAAAAAAATTGTTGAATTGTAGGAAAGGGAAAAGGTTTTTTTTCTATTTTATTTATTTAATTTTTTAAACTGACAATGAGTTGATATGAATAAACAAAATTATTAATATTTTCTTGTTCTACAAGTTTAAATTTTATTAAAAATCGTAGCAAGGAAGAAATGGGGGAAAATGAAAAAAATTTTTTTAGGGAAATTATAAAACAAAATGTGAATTTTTTCACCTACAACCCCAGACATTCTCAGGCTTCTTGGCCTTCTAACTAAGATGAAAAAATTTCGGCTGTGGCCTGAAAAACTAAAAATATTTTTAAAAATATTTGCGCTAGTAACACCTAAATTCTGGCGCACAACCCCTTTACCCCCATAAAATCGACCCCCGGGCTACGCCCTTGACCGTAGGGTTTTACTATATCGGTTACAGTTTTGTTTAGCCTAGAGAAATTTTATACTCGATTTTGGAGATGAATTTTTCTGTCCCAGAGGTGTCCATGCAATTAAAGTCGTTTGCAATTGTTTATCATAGAAAAAATATAAAGAAATTTTCTTTCTTTTTCTCGATTCAAGCCCCTAATTAAAATACCTATTTGTACAAAAAAAATTTTATCCAGTCTTTTTTATAGTAAATTTGTTTAATTATTTTCTGTATCCTTTTTTTTTACTTTTACTCTAAAAATTAACTACACTTTTTTTTGTTCTAACTTTCTCCCTTGAAGGCATTAAAAATGAAGTGAAAAAAAAATAAAAACAAGAATTATAACAAACATCAATACATACATATGTGATCGGGTCAAAAACAAGAAAAATAAAAATCTATTCGTCTTTAAAAAAATTATTTTTCCCTTTCTTCTTTTAATGGAGGTTGAGAAAAAATTAAATTCTTCTGACAGCTCTTTTAACAACAATAACAGTAAAAATGAATTTAAACAACAACCTTTGTTTGTTCGTCTAAAGTTACGTTCACTTTGTATGGTTGGCGCCCTTTTACCTGGTAATCTTTGCCTGGGAATTTAGTCAATTATTCTCTTTCAAGATATTGAAGGGTTTAATTGTTCTGGTCCCAGACGGGAGAACACTGACTTCTAATTGGTTTAGTACTTTTAATGATTAGAAACATGACCGGAAGTGTCCTAAGAGATATGTATCTCGGGTAAATGTCCAGTTGGCGGTCTACATGTTCGCAAAGAGAATCTGCTCTTTTCTTTCCTTTTCTTGCATTTTTTGCGTTGGGAGAAGTGCTCCGCTCATTTTTCCTTTTCTGCCATTTTTCCTTCTCAATACAATATGTTCTCCTGTTCATACTTGTAAAATAAAAATACCTCTAATTAGAAACAAAATTTATTTTACAAATGATAATTTTGGATAACATTCTCAAATAAATATAGGGCTGATAATAAAAACTATGAGGGGGAGGATGGCTATAAAAACTGGGCCTATATCTTTAATCAATATCGATATCCTGGTAACACGAAAATCTACGTAGAACAGGTTATGTCTCATTAAATATTATTTTGAAATTTTTAAGATTATTATTTTGGGCTTATTATGTAGAAAGCCATAGAAAGCTGCTATATGATAGCAATAATCCTACATTCAAAATTTATCATTGTAATTTTTATAATCCAAGATCTATCATTTGTTAAATAAATAATTTTTTTTAATTAGAGATGTTATTTTTATTTTTCGATAAGGAAAAGGAAATCATACTGTATTGGGAAGGAAAAATGGCAGTAAAAGGGAAAATGAGCGGAGCACTTCTCCCAACGCAAAAAATGCAAGAAAAGGAAAGAAAAGAGCAGATTCTCTTTGCGGACATGTAGACCGCCAACTGGACATTTACCGATATCTCGAAATACATCAATCTCGACAAACTAAATTTTTGTTTGAGATCTGCTTTCGTCCGATCCTTAGTCCTCTTATCCGAGACTATTTGAAATAGAAGTCGAGACGGAACGAATCTTTCGGGTTACCGTCCCCAAAACTCAGGTTTTTTTAAATTTCGAGGATTGTAATTTTCCTCTGATTTCTTGGATTTATCACGCGGAAAGCCATCTTTTTCGATAAATTTTAAAGTTCATGATCCCTAAATTACAATTTATCTACTCTTAGTCTGAGCTCCTCAAAAAAGTCAAAAATACTCAAAGTTTAACATTCCCCCTTACTTTTTTTCAAATTTTTCTTCCAAATTTAAATTCTAATCAGGACTTGGATGTTATACTTGTCTTCTCTACACATTTATTTTCCAACGAGAACGAATCGACAATTTTGTAACAACAAATTGCCCTAAAGTTCACAGTTCATTCCCCCCAGTTTCCTACTCTATAGGTGTTTGGGAGCCTCAAAAATCTTTTTGGCTTTTTGTTCTTTTCATTCATGTTCAGGCACGGATATTTTTTGGAGTTGTAAGTTGGGGTTAAATGTTGAGGAAAATTTTTTCTTTAAATTTTTCTTTAATTTTCGGCATATAAAGGAAATTTTGAATTGGGAGAGTCTGAATATAAACAAAGAAATTGGTATATTCCAATGTTGAAGACACACATGTTTTTGATTTTTTCTGAAATTGTCGGGCTGGTACTTGTTTCTGTTGTGGATATTGAAGAATATTTTGGTAAAGTATTCGTTTTTAATATTTAAAATTTAAATTTGTGGGAAATTTTCAAAATGTCGAAAATGAAAAAAATTTTTCAAAATGTCGAAAAGTCAAAAAATTTTCAAAATGTCGAAAAGACAACAAAATTTCAAAATGTCGAAAAGACAAAAAACTTTCAAAATGCCAAAAAAGTCGAGATTTCAGAATGTAAATTTTAACAAATTTTTCTCAGTTTTTCATGCAATTGGTTACGCTCTATGGCTAATTTCTTTTAATTTTAATGTACTTTGTAACACGATACTCTTTTATCACTCAGGTATCACGTCACTTTGGGAAAATGTAAAAATAAATTTTAATTAATTTTTATTTTTAAAATTTAGTTGAATTTTATTTTTCGCTTCAAATGTGTTTTGGGATATTTAATTATTTATCCATTATCTGTATCTACAGGCTTTACTTATTTTGGATATCTCTATACTTGCAATGTTTTATTTAAGTTTTTATATCTTTGTTTCGTGGATTCCGTGGACGTTAGAGTCTCAATACAAAAATTTTTAGTTATAGACGTTTGAGTCTTGGCTGTGTCCCCTTAGGCCTCTTAGGGTTGAGAATACTCCAATGAACTCATATTTTAAAAATTGAATGCCTGTGACTCTAGTGTCCTCATATTTCAAAGAATTGATAAATGAGACTCTAACATTCCCATAAGGGGTCTCCAAGACTGGAGAGACTAGAGGACTCTAAGAGACTCCAAGAAACCCCTTAATATTGAGAATATTAGAGTGTCATTTATTAACTTTTTGAAATTTGGGAGCTCTAGAGTCACAGGCATTAAATTCATAAAATATGGGTTCATTAGAGTCTCAGTCTTTGAACTTTAAACGTATGGTGGCATCAGGGTGGGTCGAAACAGTCGAGGTGTCGGAAATTGGAAGAGCCGGAAATCGGAACTGACTCAAAAGTCGGAACTCGGAAATCAAAATTTTTTTTCGGAAATCGGAAGAAAAAAAGTCGGAAATCGGAATTCCAACCCACCTCTTGTGGTGACATCCGGGTCTCATTTATTATTTTTTCCACAATATTTTACTTAATATTTATTTTTAGATTATACTTTATTTTCATTAGCAGAATATGCTTTAGTTGGTCTTAACTCTCTTTGGTATTTTCTTTTGTTATGGGAAATGGATAATTGTGAAATAGAAATATATTATAATTAAATGTTTATTTAAAAAAGTTTTTGTCTAAAATGCTAAATTAATTAAATAAAAAAATAAACACAAATTATGAGAGGAGAGGAAGGGGGACCCGAAATTAATTAAGAGAAGAATATAAGGGGAAAGGGAAGAAAAATAGTGAAGCAGCTGGACTATAGCTATTTCTCACCTTTAGCTAGTGCAAAAGGTTTTTCGGCGGCTGGTTCGAACCAGCATCTTCAGTAGACCGGATTGATGTGTTAGCCATTACACCACGCCGCCTACTGCACAGCCTTGGAATTAAATAGCTATATGCTTTACAATATAGAGGTGAGAGGAGGAAAAAAGGGATTTTTTAGATGAATTTAGGGGATGCGGAGGTTACATACATAAAAGTCGTTATGCGTTTTGCGACAAAAAATAGAACCAAAAATCGTAAAAGGCAAAATCGCGCACGATTTTTATGTAAGCACAGCATAATGGAGAATTTTTGAAAAAATTTTTCAAAAATTATTTTTTAGGAACACTAGGGCTCAGAAAAAAATTTTGAGAAAAATTTGGAAAAAATTTTCAAAAATTTTTTATCAAAATTTATTTTTTAGGAACACTAGAGTCATAGAAATTTTATTAAAAAAATTTTTCAAAAATTCTCCTTAATATAAATTATTTATTTTATTAAAATAATAATTATTCAATTCCTACATAATTAAAAAATAATATTTAAAGCTCGCAAAATCGACTTTCGATATGCGCAATTCTTGGATAAAAAATAATTAATAGAAAAAAGGGATATAGTATACCGGTGGTAAGGTTTCGATATAAGACCCAAACCATTCGATTCGTCTCGACGAGCTGAGTCGAACGGTATTACTCTTTTTTCCGGAAAAGCCTTGGTCCGAGATATACATACATATGTAGGTCCCCGAAACGAATCGAATGATATTGGTCTTATATCGAAACCTTAACACCGGTATACTAGTATACTACAGCCGAAAAAGTTGAAATTTTAAATTAAAGATAAATAAAGCAAGAATTTAATTTGGAAATTTTTAAAATTAATTTTTCAGAACACTAGAGTCTCGGAAAATATCGAAAGTTAACTCCTTTCATCTAATTTCAGTCATTCTCTTTCAAAATAAAAATTCTTGCTTTATATTAGAGTTTGACCCCGAATCCTGAAGGCACGTTTTTCGGGGAGCGTTAGAGGATGACGACAAATTGTGAGTGATATTCTGTCTGTCATCCTCCAACGCTCCCCGAAAAACGTGCCCTCAGGATTCGGGGGCAAACTTTTATGGAATAAAATTAGAACTTCATATATGGAGTAAAATTAGAAATATGTCAAACCTCATTTTTGAATACTCTTGATATTAGAAACTCTATTTAAGATACGTTTTTTTTAAATTTAGTGGCCTATGGTTGGAGGACCCCAAGAGTGTATCCTACTAAACAATACCCTCAATTTAAACTACACCTCACTATAAGCTGCAAATTTTTTTTTCAAATTTTTTTCGCCCCAAGGGTGTTCCTACATATAACAAGGTTCGACTGTCTTAATTTTCAAAAAAGAAAAAATATAAAAATAAATCTGGGACCCTGTTTAGCAGAGCGACATAGAAAAAATGGGTACGGCCCACTTTGTCGCACGGCCACATTGTCGCCGAGCCTTAACTTGCTTTAAGATTTCCGAATCTTTCCAAATTTAGTATTAAACGATTCCTCTCATCGAGCTAAAGAGATTGGTACCAAAATTGATAAGGGTCAGAAATTTTTTAGCAAGTTATGGCTCGGCGACAATGTGGCCGCGCGACAATGTGGGTGTGTCCCAGAAAAAATATAAGGGTAGAGAAAACTCTCTCATCTTACCGTACTCTTTTCTTCTCATTTTCCGGAAAACACGTTTTTCTACGTATAATTATTGCATGCTTCTTTGTATTCTTTTCCGTTTTGTATTTTCGTTTTCCCACCGCCATTCATCTGCTGATGTTGCCCGTTTGTATTTTCCCTTCTCTTACTTCCGGAAAAACAGCACAACGAACGGGTGTAGAAAAGTCCGAGAAGAACAACAATAAACAACAACGCGAGAAAGGCTAGCAAAACATTCCGGAAAAGTAACCAATCCTCATCTTTTCCCTCTTTCTCAATTTTCTTTTTCTCTGCTTCATTCAAGTCTTTAGTGTCTGTTTCAGTAAAAACTTTGTCGTTTTCTGTAGTAAATGTTGATGTTGACGACATTTGAGTCTGAGGGGAATTTGACGTTAAAGCTGGTTGTAAGGGGGAGGATTGAGGCTGTTGAACAGTTTCAAGCTTTCCGGATTCTATTTTTAGTGATGGAATGGGGACCAAGGTGGTTGCCTCTCTCTCATTATTTTCTTCATTGGTAGACGTTTGGGGGGATGTTTCCTTCTAAAATTTAATTTTTTTAAATTAATTTTTAGGCTTAAATCACCATTTTCGAACTTGTACTTTTTGTCTTTTCATTAAAACTTTTTTCTCTCCCCTTTGTTTTTATAGGGCGTACAATAGGTGTATGCATTTCATACTTGTCTTTGTCTAAAAAATATTTGAAAATATTTTTTAAAAATTTTTTTTGGACCTTTTTCAGTTAATTTATCTTTCCCTTTCTTTAATTGTTCGCTACTCTCATTTTTATTTGATTGGCTCCGTTGGTAATCTTCCATTCCAGTTCCATAAATTTCTGGATGAAGTTCATAATCTAACGCGTCTGATTTAACGAGGGTTCTACGCTGTTCAAACTTCGGTTTTCCTGAAAGAGAACATTACGGTTGTTTCAAAATGTCCAATAGAATAAAAAATTTCAAAATGTCAACTAGAATAAAAAATTTCAAAATGTCAACTAGAATAAAAAATTTCAAAATGTCAACTAGAGCCAAAAATTTCAAAATGTCAACTAGAGCCAAAAATCTCAAAATGTCAACTAGAGCCAAAAATTTCAAAATGTCAACTAGTGCCAAAAATTTCAAAATGTCAACTTGTTTAAAAAATTTCAAAATGTCAACTACAGCCAAAAATTTCAAAATGTCAACTAGTGTAAAAAATTTCAAAATGTCAACTAGAGCCAAAAATTTCAAAATGTCAACTAGTGTAAAAAATTTCAAAATGTCCAATAGAATAAAAAATTTCAAAATGTCAACTAGTGAAAAGAATTTCAAAATGTCCAATAGAATAAAAAATTTCAAAATGTCAACTAGTGAAAAGAATTTCAAAATGCTAAAAAAATTACCAGCGCCCGCCTTGAGTTGATTTTCACGTACCACAGTAACCTCATAGAAAAACCTCACCCTCTCTGCCCCAGCAAAAACATTCCTCTCAAATTGTACTTCTTGGGGCATTCTCAAATCTAGGTTACCATCATGATACTAAATATTTTTTAAATTTAATTTATAATACAAATTCCCTCACATAATTAGCATTTGGAGTGTCAGTCATTCTCTCTTCATATACCAAATCCTCTGGATCATCTTCCATTTGTATCTCTAAATGTGATTTGCAAAGCATAGGCATACCGGATGTTGATGCCTTTATTTTTATAAAATATTGTAGTATACCCCCACTTTAAGGCATAATTTTCCCTACTTGTTCACTCCCTACTAATTTAACACTCGGTTGAAAAAGTCCGTACCTAGGTACAAGGCTCTAGAGAGCGCCTACTAGAGATAGGTCTGGATCCGGATCCAGTCTGGATATTTCCTAGATCCAGAGTCCAAATCCAGGCATTTTTTGATCTTCCTGGACTTTTTCTGGATCTGGATTTTTCCTGGACCAAGATCAAATCCTGTACAGGTTACTAACATAAATCCAGGATTTTTGAAAATACCGATCTCTAGTGCCTACGGGTCCGACTACTAATTTCTAAACTATTTTATGGACATTTAAGTCTCAAAAACCCATCAAATGCTTCTTACCTTCCCCTGATTCATCCAAATTAAATCGTGTGTATTGGGTATAATAATATCTCCATTTTCACAAAAATCCCTCTGAGTAACAGGAAAAACATAAAATAACTGTAAATCATAAGGTTTTAATTTCTGCCAATATTTGTCGTTCCAAAATTGTTCAACAGTTACCAAAACTGATGGAATTGAGGAACCTCCAAGAGCTTCATTTGTTGCTTTTGGAACAGGCAATTTACGGAGTGCTATATTAGAATGATTATATTTTTTAACTTATTGTCGGTCCTCACTAAGACACGTTTTCTCTCTGGGTCTGAAAATATCGTATCTTATAATGAGGGTATATATTTTAAATAGAAGGTATCGTCTAGACAACTCCCTTTCCTCAACCATTGGTCATTTTGGTTGGTCATAAAATTGGAGAGTACCTAAAGTATGCCTCTCTATTCAAGATACACCTCTCTCTGGGTGTGAAAATATTGAATCTTAGGTGTATCCTAAAATAGAGGTATCCTCTAGACAACCTCCTTCCCCCAACCAGTGGTCATTTTGGTTGGCCATAAAATTGGAGAGTACCTAAAGCATGCCTCTCTATTTAAGATACACCTCATTATAAAACTTTCAGCACTGACAAATAAGGGTGTATTTTATAGTGAAATCCGACTTTATCATATTTAACAATAAAATTACCAGACGAATAACAAAGCCTGTAGAAAGCTTCATTTTTCTCCAATTTAGGTTCATTTATTTCCCTATGTCTACCACCATTAGGTATATCCAAAACTTTGCATTTTTGTGTAATTTCAATACTCGCTTCAATACTTGGAACGTTTGTTGCTCCATTATTTGAAATCATAGGGCCATTGCTTATACAATTACAGGTTCCCTCTTCTGTAATTAGTTGTTTTTTCCGAGCGTTGAAATGGAGCGGCTGCATACAAGTACTGTAATATAATTTAAAAATTTCAAATTATTAATTTAAAAATGTCAAGGGTTCGAAATGGTAACTAGGTTAATCTTTGAATGATTTTTAGTGACCGACACCGGGCCGGACTCAGGCCGGATTTGCTGGAGTACGGTTGTAAATCAAGGTTTTTTCGCGATCTCCGATTTTTTCAGGACCGGATTAATTCAGAAAAATCCGGCCAGATCCGGTTTGGCATGAGTGCGGAATCCAAAATCCGGTTTCCGGTCCCGAAAAATAATTTTGACGGTTTCCACTAATTTTACACCATTAAAACTAGAGGTCTGTAAAATCGCATTCACGGGATCCCGTAACGGGATTTTTTCAAAAATTTTTGCGGGAAGGATCCCGCCGGAGTAATCCCGTAAATCCCGTAATCCCGTTCACCGCGTAAAACACGGGATTTCGGGACAGGATCCCGTAAAATTCCGACGGAATCCTGTCCGGTGCCGACCTCTAATCAAAACGTCCATAATACTATACTGTCCAAATCTCAAAATGTCCAAAATTCAAAACGTTCATATTTCATAATGTCCAATTTCAAAATGCCCATATTTAAATTAGTTAACTACCTATATCCACTATTTGTACAATCATTGCATTTACTACATTTTTCCAACACTTTCCCATTACTAATGTCTATTAATTTCAAATCATCATCAAAAATATCCAACTTCCCAAAATCATTAGTCTCGCAACTTAAATCAACACAATCAAAATTTTGATTAAAAGAGGAAACAAAAAATGTTGTTGGAGTAGAAAAAATTAAATTTATTGAAGAAAAAAATAAAATTGAAAAGAAGGGGAAAATAATAAAAAAATTATTTGTTGATATTTTCATTTTTAAATGCGGTAATTAAATTATAGGACCTATTTATAAAATTAAATTAATTATTTTAGAAAATATTATCGAGGGATAAATGAGAAAATATGAGAATTGTTTTATGGTCGTATATATTTTTTATAAAAATTATTGGTTTTACAAACGGATTGTAAAATGAAGTTTAAAAAATAATTATTACAATTTGTAACCGGAAAGAATAATTAATTATTATTATTCCAACCGGATTGTAAATCTAATAAGAATAATAATTATTACAATTTGTAATCGGAAAATAAGGATAATTAATTATTAATTTTACAACCGGATTGTAGAAGAAAAATGAAAATTATTATTACAACCGGATTGTAAAATGAATAAGTAAATATTTCACAACCGGATATAATTTATAACCGGATTGTGACGGAAACAATTATTTAATTTACAATTGAACAAAATATTACAATTTACAACCGGATTGTAAAAATAAATAGGTAATTATTTATTTTACAACCGGATGTACAATTCTTAACCGGATTGTAGAAACTAGGGTTGTTGGCTGTGCTAGGGTTATACGCTGTCTATGGCTCCGCAAGCTAGCACCGGAGCCGGCTCCGGCGGAGCCGAAGCCTGAGCCATGATTTCAAAAGTTCGAAGCAGAAGCCAATAAATGGCTAATACCCAGCACTGTATTTTCATTGCGGCCCTAAATAACAAAATTTTCGTTGGCTGATCTTTAGAATATTTCATTGAAGCACAATAATGTGATAAAATATGAATTTAATGTTCTGTATGGCAAATTCAGGCATAAACCGATTTCGGTTAACCAAAAACCGGGGGTCAATCGAAAACCGAAACCGAAAACAGGGGGTCGTAAACCGGCCAAAACCGAAAACCGAGGGTACCGGTTTTTAACCGGTCGCCAACAACCCTAGTAGAAACGAATAGCTAATTATATTTTACAACCGGATTGTAAAAATAAATAATCAAGAGCTCAACACATAACTAACTTTCCTGATTCAAAAAATTTTATTTACAAAATAAATTTCAAAATAAACAAAAAACACGGATTAAAGCTTGATTTGTAATATTTAAAAAACAATAAACTAAAAAAAGCAAAACCAATTTTAAATAAGTTAATAATTCCAGTTTAAGTATCTCCAACTTCCGGTTGCCCAATTACCATAATTTTTTGTGTTTACAAAATAACCGAAAGTTTCTCAAGTGCTTTTTACAATTGTAAAAATAATAAATAATTTTTACGTGAGGAAGAGAAGAAAAATAATAATAAGTGGTGAAATGGAAAAGGGAAAGGAAGGGGAGCTGCGCGAAAAAAAAACTTTTTTTTTCTTGCCTATTTGTGTTATGAAATTTGGCTTTTTCTTTTAAAAAATAAGTTAAATCAATTAAAAATTAAGGGAATTAATTTTTAAAATAAATAAATTTGTTTGAGGATGTTTATTGGTTTCCAATTAATTAAAAGTTGAAAATTAAAAAGCCTATCTAGGTAGTAGGTGATTTTACAAATCGGTTGGAATAATTATTTTCTAGTTCTTTTAGAATCCGGTTACAACTTGTAAAAAATAATAATATTCAATATTACAATCCGATTGTAAAAATAATTAAAATTATTTATTTTTTACAATCCGATTACAATTTGTAAAAATAATAAATATGTATTATATTTACAATACAGTTGGACCCGGTTGTAAAATGCATAATATTTTTATTAAATAATAATTAATTATTTAATTTTACAATCCGGTTCGAATAATTATTTTCTAGTTCTTTTTGAGTCCGGTTACAAATTGTAAGAAATATAAAGTATTCCATATTATTGTAAAAATAATCATTAAATATTCTTTTACAATCCGGTTGGAATAATTTTTCGATTACATTTGTAAAAATAATAACTACCGTATATACTGTATTAATTACCCTGGGTAATTATTGTTTCGATCTCTCGCTGGAGGGGGTAATAAAAGCAGGTGGGGTAATTATTTGAGGGAGGGCAATTATTATTTCGACCTGTAAATTTTTTATTTTATCGTAAAGATATGAACAGTAATATACAATATGTTACCGAATGCAGGGATAAATATTAGTAAATTTTTACAGATATTTTTTATTCCCTTAATACTTTCATATATAATATACCCCAATACGGTACAATAACACCAATGCTTCCTCCCTGGGAGATATAAAGACACGATAGTCATGTGTATAAAAGTATGTATGATTCCTATTTAGGGAATATTCCCTACATTCTGTAAATATACTTCTTATAATATGACTAAAGACAGAATATTGATCCTTAAATGCTTAAAAATTAAAAGTATCCGGGTTATCCTCTCCAAATCCTTTTATTTTCTTGATTTATTTTTTATATAATCCTTAAAATGCCCATTGTTAAAATCATAATGTTTTTTAATAAATATTTTCAACATTATCTTAGAAAAAATAGGGGGTAATTATTTGAGGGAGGGCAATTATTGTTTCGATCTCTTGCTAAAGGGGGTAATAAAAGCAGGTGGGGTAACTATTTGAGGGAGGGTAATAAATACAGTATATACGGTAAGCATATTATTATTTCCGGTCGAACACGGTTGTTGTATTATTGTCCGTTACAATCCGGTTACAATTTGTAAAGATAAACATTACGTATTTCATTTTTCAATCCGGTTGTAAAGAATAATTAAAATAATTTATTTTTACAATCCGGTTACAAATTGTAAAATGATTATTATTTTTAATTAAAAAAGTTGCTTTATTTTTATTTTACAATCCGGTTGTAAAAATAATAAATAATTCTCCTTTTAATTATTTTCTACATACCGGTATAATAAAAAGTTCATTTAATAAATTGAAACAAAATATTAAACAAAATAGTATTTACATTAAAATGAAGAGAAAAAAGAGTTTTAAAGGTATAGGGGGTAGTAAAAGGGAAAAAATATAATTGTATATTAAAGTGGTGGAAAAAGATGATCGACTACCCAAAACAAACAAAAAAAAAGTATTTAGTAGCTTTTAAAAATATATTAAGTAGAAAGAAGCATCTGCCTCGCTACTAGTTTAGTTATACTATACTTTTAAAGGGACAGGGCCGTTTTGGCGCGAGCTTATAAAACAGTGATTTGTTTATCAAAAATGATCAAATTTTGCAATAATAACTTTCGTACCTTTATCTAAGTTCTCCAAAAATTTCAAAATTTTTGATCATGAATTTCAGAAGTTGTGGCCAAAAATGTTGATTTTCTGAAAAATGCCTAATTTTTCGAGGTCTATCGACTATAACTTCATAAATATTTGATGAAAAATTCTGAAATTTCTGGAGGAGGTAGTCAAGTATGGTAAAGAAATTTGAGAAAAATTTTAGGAATTTTGGTCTCGCCTAAGTACCAGTTTTTAGTTCTCGCGCCAAAACGGCCCGGCGCCAAAACGGCCCGGCGCCAAAACGACCCCAACCCTACTTTTAAA